AATCTTTAAGCTGTTATAATCTGATTTTATATATTTCGTACAAATTTGAATTCTAAAAAATGGCACAGGATAATAAGAAAAAGAGATATGTGATTTATATGACAGAAGAACAGAAAGAAATTACTTGTGGAATATTCAATTTTCATGGGTGGGATATTGAAATATCAAGTGATGACGATGCTGAAGCAACAAGTACCCAGTATCAAAATTTGAGCAGAACATCCACTGAGACTAAGTCAGTAAACTCAGATGTTTGCGAAAAATAAATACCTGAAGAGAATGCAAACTTGTCAACATATCAACAAGATGGATCTTCTGAACTGGCTACCGGTAATACAGATGTTTGTCACCACTGTCTTAGTTCCCCCTGTGTGACTGCAAGTCCTCAGGCCTGGTTAGGAGATGGTCGCTTTGCAAGACCAGGAAATAACTTAATACGCAAAAAACTTTATAGAAAGTACTGGACTATGCTTGACAGAAGAGGACTTTGGAGCAATAGTGTGTATTTAGTAAGAAAGGAAAGACTTATGCTTGCAGCACATGTTTAACTCACTGTAAGAGAGGTTATGCCTGACTGTGTCCTTCATCAAGTCACACAATTACATCCAAACCCAAAGGATGTGCCGTACATGGGACATTTCTTTTAAGATAAAACTGCTAAAAATGATCTTGACAGGAATTTAAAATATTTTTAAACTATTAATATATAAACATTTTATACAAAGGATAAACATTTGTGAAATGTAATTTTGACTGCAAGATATTTACAACAAAATATAGTGTAAATGAAATATACCTGGAAGTTACTTTTACTGTTTTCATGAAGTTTAAACCATTTAAATACAAGTTGAATCAGTACTTTGAAATTAAAACAAAATCATAGATTAATGGATTATTGTAAATTTGTTGGATATAAATACTTTTTGATAAAGTAAGATCAGTAAAAGTTATTGTTTTTTCTTATCATGTATTCAGCATTCGAATGTGTCGTCTGCTTAAAATCTCCCTCCCTGAAATATATTGTCTACTACAAATCTCTCTCACTGAAATAAACACTGCCACGTGCGTCTGTTTACTACTGAAGGTTTATGACCTGTAATGATCAGTTGGCTCCTCCCAGGGAAATTCAAATTTCAAATTTGACAGCCAGTATTTTTTTCCAGAAACACACTTAACAAAGTTTTATTTTGAATAATTTTGGTCAATCTATATCAAGAATATCTATGCCTACATACATGCCAAGTGTTGTTTAAATGCATTTGGTAATTAATCTTAAATCTTTGAAAAAGGGTCCCTGAAGTGAAGCATGCATAAAATTAATAAGAAACCTGCCCTAGCGCCATCTGCTGGCTTTTATAGTCCAGTTGGGCCTTTAAGATAAGGCTCAATCAGATGGAGATGTTGATCATGCCGTGTTGGGACTTCTTTACAATTTCCATTTTGACAAATTTGACAACAATAGAAATGTATAAACAGCAAATACGTCAGATTAAAAGTGCATAATATAGGTTAAACGTTCCGTTTGAGAGAAAATAAACCTTTTGTCATTGATCAGGACTTATCATGTTTAAGTTGGTACAAATACACTGTTTTAAGAGCCGTCGAATACTTATTACCAAACCAGTTTTTGCAATTTTATCCTATATTTCTGCGATGAACAAAAAATAAAAATATCACAGAATAAAATATCTACCAGTAATTATTCAGCCTTGATATATTTTGTTTTTCTATCTATACTTATTTTCTGTTCATATGCATGGATTGTTTTGGTAAATTATTGAAAATAGTATTTTGCCATGGGCATTGTAAATTGAATTTAACCATGAAAAATATTTTTGCATTTGCAAAAGTATGAATATTAAATATACACTATATGTAATATTTGTCAACTTGTGATGCAGCACAATATAACCATGAAAAAATATGACAACGGAAAAGAAGTCTTATATAGTATTCATCCAAAAATATTTTCCTGGCCAGCAAATAGATATGCAAAACGGCCTTTAAGAAGAGTGAACAACGATGCAATTTCGATTTCAGACATACTTTTTATTGTACTATATTTTTTCTGCTGTTTAAGGAGCTGAATATCTTAATATGCAATCATAGAATAAAGTACACTTGACCATATTATTCTTTTTGATAAAAATTCATTGCAAATAACCGGCTTGAAAAGAAAAAGTATAGTCGTGATACACCTGCGACCAAAAAATACTTTTCACCAATGCGCAGTTGTCAGTAACTTGCCTCCAAAAAAAATGTTATCGTGATTACATACATCATTTTTGAAATGAGTTTTTAGTCTTAGTAAAAGTATAATATTTGCCACTATTGTTTGTAAAAGTGTGCGGTCAAATTGTTTGAAAAGAGCAAAAACGTTTCATTTTCACAAAAACGACTTAATAGTTAGTTCAGTACTAATCATTTTAATACATCATGAAGAAAATGTAACATTTATGTGAACAAATCCCATATGCAAAAAGGAGTGCTATACAGCAAACATACGATAAACAAACACAATATCATGAATAAAATGTCAAACTCTCAACAAAAAGAAATTTAAAAAAAGCCCCGCCAACACTTCTAAAACGTGCTTGTACATATGAAACCGGCTGATATAACAAATGCGGTTTTGATCATAGTTATTTATAGGGCTGCTTTCTGGTGAATTGTTTTCCCTCCAAAGAGGATTATAAATTTTGACACGTACACTCAACCTTAATAAAAAGCCTTATGTTATAAAATTTCACCTGTTCAATTAATTAAAAAACTACTTAAAAATAAATATATCTTAAATATATAGTTTTGCAGAAGTATTGACTCATCTGTTTTATGAGAAAACGTAAATAGTTTGGGTTGGAAAAATATCTTGACTTTAAGGGCATTTTCGGCATTGTACGTGAACGAAAATAGTTTTATACTATAGCAATATTTGAGCAAAAAATTTGAAATAAGAAATGCGGAGAATAAAAGATTAACATTATGTAACCTTGTTATGACTGTGTTAACGTTATAAGGGTAACAGATATCTGGCCAGATCCAGGAAGGGAGGATAGAAACATGCGCATCATCACGTAAAATGCATTTTGACATCGAGTGGATTGCTTTGAAATAATACACTCTTCTGTCCTTATTTGTTTATATACGAAAAGCTCCGATAGTGTTAGAAAAGAGTAACTTCAAATTTAAAAATATTTTGGAATTTCCCAGCTTATCTGGTGATCAATATTATTTTAGGAATAAAACTTCGCTGTGTTGCACTAATAAATGGTAAATATATTGAAAATAACCAACACGTTGGTCTCTCCACAGTAAGGTAGTGCACTGTGAATGAAGATGTACGGTTTCTACTCCCGGGTTATATGGGGGGAACCATAATTGCCGAGTAACGGTTAATATTATTATATAGACTTTTAATGCTATATGAAAATATGAAAGGGATATTAGGATAAACAAATGCCATAATGCACTATTTAACCATAAATGACGGCGGAACTGATAATCTTTGTTGCGTATTTTATTTCTACATCTTACATTTTATCTACTTCACTATCAGTTGGTCCATTTTAAGATCCTATTATTGCCATTGTTTATTTTGTTCAACTCGTTATATATATATAATGCATGATGAATAAATCTTTAATGGACCATAATGAAAGACTATTGATGGTCCGTGGACAGGTGCAATGCAGATTTATTAGAATACTTATTGGTAATACATCAAATGCACAGTTTATAATGTCACACTACTACTAATGGTCATGCCATTTGTTTTCATCATGACATCTGTCTGTATTCTGGGCCATTTGTTTCATTTTTGTGGTTAAATGTTTAAACTATGTTGCTCCACTCAGCTTTTAAATGCGGTTGCGAAATAACTTGCGCCATATGCACATTTTTTTCACCGTGTCTGTAATTTAATTTGTTTTAAAGTTCCTTTTTAAAGATTTCAATAAACTGCACCACAAAGTGATTAAGGGGTATTTGTAATGTAGTCTGAATGAACCATGCTTTTCTTTATATATGTACGTCAAGTTATAGAAGACCGACCTAGTTTTAAAATGATATCGCCTTAATATTATTGTGCATGAAATACAGAGAATATTTCATTTATAATGATTTGCATTCTTTCCCGGGAGTTAGGGGGACCAGATTTATTAAAATGTTGTCTGAATCATATTTCACCCTCCCCCCTCGATTTAGATCCCTTTAACTGGCTTTTATTTCAGAATATCACAATATTTCAGTATTTTTCTCTAGATATTGGACGTAATCTGGGAAAGGGTGAAAATTGCAAACTTGGGTTGATGAGTGCATCATCTCTCACGTCCCAAGCACCAGCTTTAGCGGTATCAATCTTCAACCCTTACACGTGCTTTGAAGGACAAGAAAAATATAACATTACTTAAGTGAGGTACGGGACAACATTTTACAGCTGCCACACAACATTTGACACCTGCTGTTTTAAGTTTAAAATCTTTTCGGCTAGTAAAATATAGCATAAAACAAGAACAAAGTAAGTACAGTGGCTCTTCCTCCATTACTACATTACATCGTATCATCAGAAGAGGAGATTAAATCACCTATCAATATTGTGGGAAATCTATCCAAGAAATTGTATGCGCTACTCACACCCATTCTTTATGTGTATTTTGAATCTTTATAGGGAATATGGATTGAAAAGAGTAATATTGATAGTTATTTTTAATAAATAGTTATTTTTTCTGGATAAAAAGACTAACGAATTATATGTACACAATACTGAAAGTGACAATGCCTTTGTTTATAACTAAAAAGCAATTGTAAATGTTTATGTTTAAGTTTTTTCTGAGCATAATGTTATTCACATATTGAACTTTGTATATAAAGAATTTCAGTGTTGTATGTTAAACATGATTATGAGTCATATTATTTGACGAATGTTAAGAGGCAATGTGTTTCAGCTAGATAATGCATAGAGTTATTTAGGAGCTGATTTCATTTAGATTGCAACGTGTTTAAATATACATATTACGTAAACAATTTTTGGACGGATAGAAAGAAACAGTACAGTGACATATGCTTTATCTGTTCGAAGTTTTACACGGTCAACAATTTGCCAAGCAAATATATAATTATTTTGTTGAATCCAGTAAGCAATGACGAACATGAAAAGGTTGCAACAACCAAATTCACAGCTGTAGAACACCATGGCAACGGTTTACTACCAGTAAACGTCGGAACTGCCAAGAGTTTCTTTCGGTATAAATCTATACATAGATCCGAACGGTGAACAGAATAATAACAAAGACCACGTGGCTATATCAAAAGTTCCCTCTTCAGTTACACTCGGACACAGTAGTGTAGCGTGGATGGGCGTCTATTCCCGTACTGATGTGAAACCTCCTTATACAACCATTCATCTGTCCGTCCTTGTCCTGTTTTAAGAAAAAATTGAAAGTACATTAATTTAACCTCGATAGGTAGTAACAAAACACAAAATAAAAAAAAATCATGAAGACGTTTATATTCAAGTCTCATCATTAAAAAAGTACTTAAGATATTCCATTTTTGCAAACAACTTTTTAATCAATTAAATTACTAACACATTTGATGAAGGTATTTTATTCTTAACCTCAGCTCATATACAAAGGGCAACCTATTGCAATGAAAAGAACCATTGTAATTTGCTGGTCATTTACCATTAACGCGACTCGAACTCTCTAATAAAAATACACATATGTTTAAACCAGAAATACTTTGATCATAGATGTAAACATCAAGACGCATCTAAACAAACTTGCAAACCACATTCTATTTCGATAGCTTCAACAATATAAGATTTATATCTATGTATAAGGAAATTTTGATCATCATAAAAAGTAATTGAGTGATCATTTATAGAGAAACATTTAAAACACCTAACGACATGAACATAAGGATATGTTTGGCATATAAATCACTTTGAAGCATATGTTGTTTTTAACAACAAATTAATTTTCACTTCATTCAACGGTTTTCAGGAAATTGAACTTGTCTTAAAAATAGAAAAAGACATCTTTAATAAGTCAGTCCGTATTTATCTGAGAAGCTATGAAACAACCATATAAGGGTTAGCATTTACAAATGTATTTATCCATTAAATACGCATATCATTATCAAATTTAATATTTAAATAGTAAGAAAAACTTACTTATACACCACGCTCTGTTGTATTCGATATTAAATAGTAATATAAGATCAAAATATTATTCAAAATTACAGACTGATATTAAGGACAGTGTTTCAGTAAATAGTTTGAGATTATTTGCGAATTATATTTAACTGTACAGATAGGTTTTTAATAAACGGTCTACTTTTTGGCGTTATAGAACACAGCACTGATTAACTGATTACGGACTCGAAATTAGAGAATAAACAAGAACTATCTTTACAAAAAGATACTCGGCCGAAGTAAACCTGGTTAACTTGTAAATGTTATTTCTAAGTTTTAGATACATATTTATTTGACAAAATAAACAACGGGGTATATTTTATATTATAACTATCCTTTATATATTAATTTATATTGGCAAGAACAATCCTTTACATTTCATGTCAGAATTGTCTTTAAAACTTTATTTTTGAATGGCAAGAACAATTCTTTACATTTTATTTTAGAATGGCAAATGAGATTCGCAGAATTAAATTTGTATTTAAAATGACCAATGAAAATTCTTCTTATATTCAGTTCTTCCCTGTAAATTTTACAGGAAGTCTAACTGATTTCAGATGGCCTTCGGCGAAAAAAATAGAATAAAAAACATTGTATACTTTATGCGAGTATCAATACATCTTGATTTCCATACAACAATCTTCCTGGATAATGTTGGGTTTGTTTTCAATCTTCCTTAAATTATTTTAATTTGCGGTAAACTCATACATAAAGTATTTCATACGCTAGCCACAATGTTCACATGTAAACACTAAATGCTTCCTGTTTCTTTAACTACTTTACGACTGGTATTTTATATACTAAGTAACGCAGATGGCGACAGGTTTAATGTAAAATTGTAAAATACCTTTATTATTTTAATAAATATGAACGAGAAAAATACTTGTACAAAAAACTTAATGCTTAAATTTAATATAAGCGAAATTTGCTTCTTTGGACTGTCTACAGACTCAATATACAGCCCTGTCGCGCTAGAATACGAAATTGTATACCAAAACGCGCCATAAACTGACTGCGACTTATAATTTAATGCTATATTTGTTTAAGTGCAATAAAAATTACTCCTTATTTAAGTAAAAATACCGAACTACCTGAACTTGCGCCTTGTGCTAAATGAAATAAGATATTAACGACATAATTGCTATGTAAATGTGTATTGTATTATATTATGGTTTGTTCAAAATTTGCATAGAAAAGTTAATGTCGACGGTCTTGTATTCTAAATGATCAAATAATTGTTATCAATCCAAATGATAATGACGTCATGTTAGTGACGTGCCTGGGTAGCAATATTTATTAGATCAATGCTATAATTAATTGAATATGTATTAAAGGGGATATCAATGAATGGCAAAGAAACCGATCGATTGTGTCAAATTATAAGTCAAATATAAATAAACTTTATTCTTGTGTAGGTAACTAGAAATAAGACGAGATGGTCTACTTGGATTAATTCGCCATGTCGGATGTACACCAAAGATGAGGTGCCAATCAATCAAACCGTAAAACCGTTACAAAAAGCAATTGTTTGTGTTCTTTTACTGCCGTAGAACCAATGCCTAGGCTCATGTTTTTGTACTTATTCAATAAACAACAACAACTTGTACAAGGAGACTGCACATTGATTTCAGTAAAAACATGTTAATGATGGACACATTGATTTCATAAAAGTGTAAGTTCATAGTTACCAAATACCTTTCCCTTATGCAAGCAAAGTGTTTTGGTAAACAAATGAGAATCGCCAACAAATAAAAAATTGCTCGAGGTAATTTGTACAAAAAAAGAATTTATCATTTCTCTTAGTGTATTGGCGCATGAGTTTATTACATAAGCGTGAATAAAGTATTCCAATTATCAGACGAGTTTATGGCTCTGATGCGTGCAGACGGTTTGATGTATCGGAAACAATGAGTTGATGACATTTGTATCAGGCAGACTCCCCTTTCAAGTCTCTCTCCCACAGAGCTCGTATTTTTCAAAGTTTAAAGCATGACTGTTTCAAGGTTCGTGAAAAACAATTAAGAAAATGTGTCAAAACAATTGAGAACTAAGTAATGTAGTAAAATGAAAATATATGATTAATCAATAATTCTACTCTGTGCTTGTTTACTTTGTGTCTACTTGGAATTTGTTATTTCAGGTCAATGCAATATTAACCACAACAAAGAAAATTTCAAGTACAGTGGAGGTAAATTACAGTTTGACATTTTCCGCCGTCAGCACAAAAGAACACAAAGGATTTAAATCGATGAATTTTTTCTTGTGATAAAATTCAGAACATTGCATCATGTAGAAAGATAATTACTTCAAGTACGTACAGCCATACCGGTCTTAGTAAACACCTTGACAAAACTGCAAAAATGTGGACTTTGTTACGAGATCATTCCACATAATGTTTTTGTTACCGTGTCGAGTATAACTAAAGAAGAAAAGTATGCTAGGAACATGCATTTTGCCTAGATTTGATATTATATTACTGAAGGGATTTTTCAAGGTGTTTGCAGCAGACGATAAGGTAGATAGTAATAATGCCAAAAAATTATTGGTAAACGGAAATATCTATCCGGATTCCAATCCTAAAAAGACAACAACAACAAAAACCATAACTGTCTCGTACCTGTAATTCTTTAACACTTTTAGATTGATAGTGCTCCGGGTTTCTGTTGCCAAAATTGATTGACGTAAAGCCCCCGCAACTGACGTAATAATGGTCGAAGTACTCTAATTCATCTACGAGAAATATACCTTTTCCGTGCCGTCTGATGAATCGCACCTGGAAATAAATAATGGACCTACACAAAATCGCGAAATATACGTAGATAGAAAACAAAACATTTATGAATAGTGGCCATGCTCTATAACATTCAAAGTATAGATTTTAGACTTGGGTGACAAAGCTTTTAGTCCGAGATAAAATAATAATTAAAAAAAAGAAAAAGTGCCATATTGTTAAAAAAAAAATAATTACAGCTTGAGAGGATATTTTGTACAAATGTACATCTTATTGGAACATATAATTCAGACAATCACTGAACAAATGAAAGAGGAAAAATATTACAATAATAAGTACAATTACAATGTTTCGTTCATTTAAAAATTATGAAATTTTCATATAGTTTAAAAAAGAGAGATAAAATCAAACGAATTGATGGTGTAATCATAAAAACAAGTACTTATAAAATACTGATTAATGTACAAAATGTAAAGCGTTTGAAATTCTTGAGCGTGTGTTTTAAACAACTTACCCTATGCCATTCTCCGTCATCAACTCGAACCGGAATCGTAAAGTTAGCGAAAGAACTCATGCATCTGATCTTGAACTGTGGGTAACCTTCGTGCAGACTACCGGAAACCATGTCTTGAAGGTCGTTCCGCCTGACTGCATAAAATAACGTACCGTTACCGGAAGTAGTCTTGAATTCAAACCTAAGTGAATGCCTGAAATATTGATAATGAAGCTATTTTCTTTTGCGCACCTTTATCTGAGAAGGGATAGGGTTGTAAATAGTCACATTTAAAAAAATGCTCTGATGCCCGTAAACGTGTACTAGTGTAACCTTACGTTTAAAAAGCATTTTTCTCAAGTTCACTTGGTGCAATTTGCCATTCGCTGTTCATAAGTACGTTCATAAAGCGTTCAATAATTGCATTCAAAACAAAAATAAGAAATTAAACTATTCTCATTTCATTATTATAGATGTTAATTTAAAACTGTCGGCAATTGGTTTGTGATTTTGGCTCCAAATTTACATTTGTTTAAATTGTTCATAGAATTATGTTTAAATAACAAAAATATTTTTCATCGTTTGAAGTAAAATGAGATATTGCAGATTTGTGTCAGATTTGTCTCTGAACGTTGACAAGAAAATCGTTCCTCTTTAACAAGGTTGAATATTTGAAAATAATAAAACTTGCGGTTTACTTTGAGAACGAAAGAATAAACATGAAAAAGGATAAATAGATCGTATCATTAGCATTAAGGACAAATTGCCCGATTAAGGTAAAAAAAGTGTTAACAGTTTAAATAAAGAAAAAATACCCTTGCAACGTTTTTGAACTTCAAGAGATCACTGTTAAACGGAGTAATTAATTTAATTATTCCCTTTAATAGCTTTAACCCTATAAAAAAATACCGTTTATACATTTGAATTAATTTATTAATTTAAACGCACATTGAAAGCAAAAGTTTATCCACAAATTTGATTGCATAACGTCTTTAGTTTTAAAATGATTATATCACCACAACAATAAAAAAAGATAAGAACAGTATATCAATACGTGGTTAATATAGATGTTTGCCAATCTTCTTTCAAATTGTTTGGTTGTTCGTCTTTTTGTTGACTACAAATCTGTATTTGTATCATACTTAACTGCCACAAATTGTACAGATACTATAAAAAGGTAAACTATGGGTACTGTAAGAATAATATATTTAACCGTTTGGCAGGATGGGAAAGGCGAATGTCATTGAATTTCGACGCGCGTCACCTTGACCTCCAAATAACTTTACTTTAGAAAAGAAAAGGTCAAATTTCACTTACTTGTCCTCGAAGGGTTCTGAGAGTGAGTCTATATATACATTGCTTTGATCAAATGGCTCAATTTTGACACCATAGCTGGTCTGTATGTCGATCTTCGAAGACTGAAACAATAAAAATAAAAACAAATACTTAATTGTACGCCCTCCGCCTTGGTACAATATCTGATATGAGGAAACATAAGAGTATTTAATGTTAAGTCATGCAAGAGGTTGATAAATTTATTACTCCCCGCCGATGGAATCGGGAGGTGTATATTGTTTTGACGTTGCCTGACCATCTTTCCGTCCGTCCATCTTTCCGTCTGTCCATCTGTCCAGCTTACATTTGGATACTTATGTGGTTAGAGGGACAGTAGGTAACTGTGCATTATCTTTGATGTCATACATTCATTCCGTAAGGCTTTTATGCACAATGTCAAACTTTATTACTACATTCAATTCACTTGGTATTATTATACATACGTTAATTGCTCCCAACGATATATTCCCTGAATTGTCAAATGTTATCAAAGTTAAATCACCAACCTGTTTCTATGTTAAGTATAAAGTTATCACAAAGGGACATAATAATGTCTCAATCTCAATACGAACAAAATTGTCATCATGTCATTTTTTATTTTTATCTTTATTCCTATACAACTAGTATTATTTTATCTACAAATTGGATTATGATTTATCAGTGTAACAACAAAATAGCCTTGAATCGTTATTGTGTCTTGCGTAACATTATGACTATGTGAGTAGAATTTATCGCAACATTTGCATAACCAAAAGTGTTTGTTTAATCTTTCATTTAACGTTATAACAGATAAATATAGATATTTAAGATATTTAGAAGATGACATTTTGATATTAAATCTTACGTACGTAGTAGCTACCTACAATTTCAGTTTATAGAACACAAATGTCGCACATGGTAAAAAAAGCAGACCTACGTCAAACACTGACTTTTAATTGAAATACTATAATATAAAATCATCAAAATTTATTGGCCTTACTTTATATTTACATACTCCCACCTTTCAAAGTTTAACTACTTAAACCCTTCATTGAAATTTTGTGAGCAATAATGAATAATTCATCCTCCAAGTTTGACTTTCACCTAAAATAATTCATTGAAATATTGTCAGGTTGTATTTGTCCTACCTTTTAGTTTGACCTTGACATTAAATTGTTAATTGAAATATTGTCGGGATAGAATTGTCCTCCAAGATTGATATTGGCCTAAACATTTATTTGAATGTTGTCGGGATTCATTTGTCGTCCACGTTTGACCTTGGCGTAAATAATCTATTTCAATATTGTCAGAATTCATTTGTCCTCCAACTTTGACTTTGACCTAAAATAGTTCATCGCAATATTTTCAAGATTTATTTGTCTTCCGGTTTAATAATTAATTAAAAAGTTGCCAGGATTCATTTGACCTCAAGTTGGCCTTGATCTTTGGTAGTTTATTGTAATATTGTTAGGATTTTTGCCATCTGCATTTGACCTTGAGCTCCGAGGGGTCACCCTTTTCAAGATTCATAAATATTTGATTGAATTATTAGGATTTGTTTGTCCTCAGAATACATTGCACCGTTGTCAGTATTTGGGCTTGGTCTTAACAAATTATTGAAATGTTGTCAGGATTCATCTGTGTTTCACGTTTGGCCATGACATGTGATAGTCAATATTGCCATGATTCATTTGTCCCCTACAAATTCCCTCGATTGTTTACGGCCAACCAATGCTATAATTTTGCATACTAAGAATACAATCTTGACTTCGTGTTGTTGGATGTGATGAACTAAAAACCAAACTTTACATAATATAATGTGGTTAGTTCTGAAATGATTTATGATGAAAACCTAGAAGTCAAATAGTCAAACTTGGTACAATGTGTATTTAGAAAATACCCCAGATCTAATTCATTTAAGTTAAATTTGATTTCCTATAATACTCACTCTATATATAAATTGCTCATTACTTGTCGATTAAAATATTTTTTAGTTAAACTCAACTGTTAACATAAAAATTCCAGCCAACACAACTTGATTTATATCTTAACATTTTATTACTTTCGCATTTAGTTTTGTATTTTAAATTGAGTTTGAATTTAATTTTGACTCTTACGATTTATTTTCCTAAAGTTTCTGTGTTTTTTTTTTTTTGTAAAATAAACCTGCTGTCTCTTTTAGTATTATTAGATGCAATCAGTGACATTAGTATAATGAAAAAATTCCAAGCTTGTTTTTTGCAATATGTTTTAAAGAATTTATATCATTTAGATCATTAAGGTCTAATATAATAACTTCACTAACTGTTTTAATGAAAGACAATTATTCGTCGGAAATCAATTTAAAAGAATTGGTAAAAGTGAAGCCTGTGTTTAACAAAGACTGTTTAACTAAACAATTTGGTTCAAATTAATCACATTAAACTATATATATCATCAATATATTCCATAATGTAACCTTTTAAATAACCTAAAATAATTTATTGATTTCTACCTAGGATATTTTTTTTTTTTATTTTGGGCCTATGTTAAATCAGTCTTATTTTTTTCTGAACAAAAATAAATAAGACTATATCATTGGACGAATTAAGTAGGTATGTATTAATCAAACAATTTAAATGATAGGTTGATCAGAAACCTTATTTAGTGATCTAAAAGTCAAAGGTTAATTTTAAATATTTCGTTGGAGTTTCCGACGTAGCTTCTTTTCTTCTAGATGTGTGATTCTCTGTACAGTGGTATGAATATTCTTTCCAAGCCATTGCTATAGAAGGCATATTTACCGCTACCCCTTGAAATAAGACTCAATCAGATCACGTTTGCAACATTGTTTTGATCATGCTGTGTTGGGAAATATTTAACATTTACATTTTGACAAACTTGATAACAAAAATAGAAATGTTTAAACAGCAAATACTTCAGATTAAAAGTGCATAATATACTTCAGATTAAAAGTGCATAATTTAGGTTAACATCAAGTGTAAAGATTTAACATTTAATTGTAAAATGTTGACTTTGAAACGACTTGTATTGATTTGAAGAGAATTTTTGATTTTGTTTACTGTTTGTTCTACAACTTATTCGTTTCGTGTTAATTTTGTTCCGAGAATAGTGCAAATTTACTGGACAAAATTTTCTGAATGACTGTTACATAAAAATTAATATTTTAAGAGCGGTTTGATACTTTTACCATGACATTTTTGCAATTTTATTCTATATTTTTTACGCTAAAAATATAACATATCTACTAGTAATTATTCAGCGTGATATATTGTTTTTCTATCTTTACTAATTTTCTGTTCATATGCATGGAATGCTTGTGTGTAGTATTGAAAATAGTATTTTGCCATGGGCATTGTAAATTGCATTTTGCCATGAAAAATATTTTTGCATTTGCAAAAGTATGAACATTAAATAAACAGTTTATGTAATATTTTACAACTTGTGATGCAGCAAAATATAAACATTCTAAATCACTGAAAAGGGTTTTAGAACGGAAAAGAAGTCTTATAGTGAAAAACGATTCAATTTCGATTTGAGACATACTTTGCAATTAACCATATTTGTCCTGCTGTTTAAGGAACTGAATATGTTAATCTGAAATCATAGACTAAAGTACACTTGACAATTTTATTCTTTTTGGTAAAATTTATCGCAAGTAAAATGCTACAATCAAGACTTTTGCAGAAAAACTATAGTCGTGATACATCTGCGACCAAAATAAGCTTTTCATCAAAAAGCAGTTTTCAGCATTTGCTTTCAACAAATGAAAGAAACATACAAAACTGTTATTGTGATTACATACAATTGTTTTCAAATGAGTTTTTAGTTTAAGTTAAAATATAATATTTATCACTATTGTTTGTAAAAGTGTGCGGTCAAATCGTTTGAAAAGAGCAAAAACGTTACATTATCACAAAAAAGTCTCATCTGTAACGACTTTGTTGTCAGTTCACTACTAAGCATTTTTAAAATTTCATGAAGAAAATTTGACATTTATGTGAAAAAATCCCATATGCTAAAAGGAGTAATATAAAACAAACATTCGAGAAACAAAAATGTTTTGATGAATAAAATGTTAAGCTCAAAACAAAAAGAAATTACAAAAAGCCTCGCCTACTAAAACGTGCTTGTACACAGGTTGATATAATAAATACGGTTTTGATGATAGTCTGCTTTCTGATGAATTATTTTCTTATAATTTTTGACACGTACACTCAACCTTATCAAAAACCTTATGTTATAAATTTTACCTGTTCAATAATTAAAAAAACTACTTAAAAATAAATATATCTTAATTATATAGTAATGCAAAAGTATTGACTCATCTGTTTAATGATAAAACGTAAATATTTTGCATTGGTAAAATATCTTGACTTTAAGGGCATTTTCGGCATTGTACGATGATAGGGAATGAAAGTGAGTGAGAATAGTTTTATACTATAGCAATGTTTACCATTTAAGCAAAAATTTGAAATAAGAAATGCTGAGAATAAAAAATTAACATTATGTTACCTTGTTATGACTGTGTTAACGTTATAAGGGTAACAGATATCTGGCCAGATCCAGGAAGGGAGGACAGAAACATGCGCATCATCACGTAAAAATCATTTTGACATCGAGTGGATTGCTTTGAAATAATACACTCTTCTATCCTAATTTGTTTATATACGAAACGCTCCGATAGTGTTAGAACAGAGTTACTTCAGAATTAAGAATATTTGGGAATTTCCCGGCTTATCCGGTGATACAAGATTTTTTAGAAATAAAACTTCCTTGATGCACTAACAAATGGTAATTATATTGAAAATAACCAACACGTTGGTCTCTCTACTGTAATGTAGTTGCACCGTCCCGGATAAGATGGGGTTGCCGAGTTACGGTTAATATTATTATCACATTATCAATACTTTTCAGGCTTTATGAAAGTATGAAAGAGATATTTGGATAATCAAATGTCATAATGCACTATTTAACCATATACGACATAAATTACGGCAGATCTGATAAGCTTTGTTGCGTGCTTTATTTTCTACATCTTACATTTTATTTACTTAACTATCAGTTGATCCATGTTAAGATCCTATTATTGCAATTGTTTATTTTGTTCAACTTGTGAAAATTGTCGCAAAATATATATATATCATGATAAAAAAATCTTAAAAGGACCAAAATGAAAGACTTTTAATGGTCCGTTGACAGGTGCAATGCAAATTTATTATTTTACTAATCGGTAATACATCAAATGCACAGTTTATAATGTCAAACTACTTCTTATAGACACGCCACTGTGTTTCATCGTGACATTTGTCTTTATTCTGGGCCATTTGTTTCATGTTTGTGGTTAAATGTTAAAACTATGTGGCTCCACTCAGCTTTTAAATGCGGTTGCGAAATATCTTGCGCCATATGCATATCTTTTTCACCGTGTTTGAAATTTAATTTGTTTATTTATATAATCATACGATATATGGTCAGATTCACGATTTCCTTTTAATTTAAAGATTTCCATATATTTTCATTCTTTATCATATCAAACATGTGTTTAATAATGTTTAAATAATAGATTAAGAATATGTCAGGTGTTTTTCAACTGTAAAAACAGCACTGAACCATGCAGTTTTGTATCGTAAAGGTAGCAAAATGTAAACAAAGTTGTATTTTAAATCGTATACAAAATACTAATTCACTATGATTATACCAATTGCCAAAAGAGTTAAAGATGCAAAAGAAATTTCATGTATGTAGGAAATGAGGATGTTTTAGGAAACTGTAACAAGATTTTTTTTAAAAATAAAAATGAAAGCATTTCTGAGGCATAATAGGCCTTTACAAGGAGACACAGGCAAAATTTTCATTTCTTAGTTTTGAGTTTTTCATTAATTATTCTGTAAATGTCCTCAAAATAATTATACTAGGCAATCACGGGAACAAATCTATTCTCATTTAAAAGTATAAAATGATGGTTTTCTAACCTGACCCACGTGGGTCAGGTTAGAGCATTAAGATTTCACAATAGTTGTCACAGTGAACTTTGGAAACGTTAAAGAATATATAAAATGAATGACTTAAACTTGTTTCAATCATACAATATCCACAGTATATGTTATTGTTACTTCCAGGGTTTGTTCCAAGTCACAAAACGTGTTTTAATATATAATGTTTAATACAGAAATCCATGGAGGAATTGTATAAATTCCATTTTAGCGTGATTTTAGTTCATGAGATCATTTAAATATTTTTGTCATTAATTTGCCTTGATATCCCTTTAATTCATTTTTTGATAATTTAAAGTGTCATGTCAGACTGCACTGATGTGTAGACGAATCTGGCTTTACACCGGTGACATAGCCAATGTAAGATAAGGTACGAGCCATCGGAAGCAATGAAAACACAAGCTAAAAAATGAAAATAGCAAACTTGGTTTAATTTGGTTGGTTCATGTGAAATAATGTAAGGTTCAACATAACACACCATAGTACCGGCTAAAGCAGTATTTAATAAGTTTTTGGTGTCAATGATTCAAAAGGACAAGACAAATATATCAACACTACGATGCAATACAAGTCAATTTATCAATAGCATTTAAAGAGTAAAATAACACGTGTATAATCATATACTTTACTTTATTACATTTGACATAGCTGTTTCGATGCTTGTGCCCCAATAGGCAAGTGCCTCTGATCTAAGTTGTATATTAGATGTTACCAGTTATTGTAACAATCTCAGTTTGATTCACATCACAAGGGTACAATATGTCAATAAAAACCGTTTTACGATCATATTGCAAACACTAAATGTATTGCAACAAATTGTCTAGCTGCCTAGCATGCATAAATTGTATAGTAACATGGCCTGCTCAAAGTTTAATCTCTAAGGATACAGTGTTTTATGTGTTTTTTTTATTTTTTATTTACTCGCGCTATATCATCGTATGATATGACAGCTCTATATAAGCACATAAAAAATGTTATTCCATATAAAGCATTTATTCATTTTAACTCTTGCTAAACAAGTCAATCAATAACAAAATTGTGGTAAGGTATCACATGATTATGTTAAGCGAAATTAACAAAAACAACGCATGATTTGAGTCATGATTAAAATATCATGACTAATACAATATTAAACATAGATGATTAGTGACGTAATGAGTGCTTACAAATGATGCAATGTTTGAAAATAAAGAATAAAAAAAACCACAAAATATAACCTATTGCACATAATAAACCGAATTGTTTCACTTTTAAGTTGTACTTGACTTTGTAACTATGTATGATATATAAATAAAAGTCCCTCATAAACTGTCCGACAATGCACTTTTTTAAAACTCAAAAAGCAGTTGCGAATGTTTATGGCGCGAACAGAAGAATTTTTTTTCTGAGCATACAAAAGAACTTTGTATGTAAAGTATTTCATGATTATGAGTCATATTATTTGACGGATGGTAAGTGACACTGTGTTTCAACCTGACTAAAGTTCAGATAATGTGTAGCGTTATTTAGGATTTTAATTAGATTGCTTAGCGTTATTTAGGGCTGATTTCAATTATATTTCACCGTGTTTAAATATACATGTTACGTAAACAATATTTGGACGGATAAAATGTTCACTGCACATTTGCAACAACAATGACATTGAGTGATAAAAGTGTTTTTTTTTATAGAAACAGTACTGTGACATTTGCTTCATCTGTTCGAAGTCTTACTCAGTCAACGATTTGCTTATCAAATATATATTTTGTTGAATCCAGTAAGCAATGCCGAACATGAATATGTTTCAACAACCAAATTCACAGCTGTAAAACACCATGGCGACGGATAACTAATGGTAACCGCCGGAACTGTCAAAAGTTTCTTTCGGTATAAATTTATACCTAGATCCGAACGGAGAACAGAATAGCAACAACGACCGCGCGGCTAAGATTCCCTCTTCAGTTGCACTCGGACACAGTAGTGTAGTGTGGATGGGCGTCTTTTCCCGTACTGATGTAAAACCTCCTTATACAACCATCCATCTGTCCGTCCTTGTCCTGTTTTAAGAACAAATTGAAAGTACATTAATTAAACCTCGAAAGGTAATAACAAACCACAAAATAAAAATCAAGACGTTTATATTCAAGTCTCATCGTTAAAAAAGTACTTAAAATATACCATTTTTGCAAACAACTTTTTCTTCAATTAAATTACTAACACATTTGATGGAGGTAATTTATTCTTAACCGTAGCTCATAAACAAAGGGCAACCTATTGCAATGAAAAGAACCATTGTAATTTGCTGGTCATTTACCATTTACGCAATAAAATACACATATGTTTAAACCAGAAATACTTTGATCATAAATGTTAACGTTAGTACGCATCTAAACTAACTTGCAAACAGATTCTATTTCGATACCTTCAACAATATAAGATTTATTTCTATGTATAAGGAACTTTTGATCATCATAAAAAGTCATTGAGTGATCTTTTTTAAAGAAATGTTTGAAACACTTAACGACATGCGCATAAGGATATGATTGGCATATAAATCACTTTTGAAGCATATGTTGTTTCTAGCAACAAATCAATTTTCACTTTTCACTTCATTCAACGGTTTTCAGGAAATTGAACTTGTCGTAAGAATAGACAAAAAGACATCTTTAATAATTCAGTCCATATTTATCTTAGAAGCTATGAAACAACCATATAAGAGTAAGCATTGAAGTAACTTGTTTTTCACAAATGAATATATCCATTAAATAAACATATCATTATCAAATTAAATATTTAATTAGTTAGAAAAAAACTTACTTATACACCACGCTCTGTTCCATTCGATATCAAATAGTAATGTAAGATCAAAATATTATTCAAAATTACAGACTGATATTAAGGACCGTGTTTGAGTAAATAGTTTGAGATAATTTGCAAATTATATTTAACTGCACAGATAGGTTTTTAATAAACGGTCTACTTTTTGGCGTTATAGAACACAACACTGATTAACTTATTACGGACTCGAAATTAGAGAATAAACAAGAACTATCTTTACAAAAAGATACTCTACCGAAGTAAACCTGGTTAACTTGTATATGTTATTTCTAAGTTTTAGATACATATTTATTTGACAAAATAAACAACGTGGTATATCTTATATTATAACTATCCTTTATATATTAATTTATATTGGCAAGAACAATCCTTTACATTTCATGTCAGAATTGTCTTTAAAATTTTATTTTTGAATGGCAAGAACAATTCTTTACATTTTATTTTAGAATGGCAAATGAGATTCGCAGAATTAAATTTGTATTTAAAATGACCAATGAATCAGTTCTTCCCTGTAAATTTTACAAGAAGTCAAACTGATTTCAGATGGCCTTCGGCGAAAAAAATAGAATAAAAAACATTGTATACTTTATGCGAGTATCAATACATCTTGATTTCCATACAACAATCTTCCTGGATAATGTTGGGTTTGTTTTCAATCTTCCTTAAATTATTTTAATTTGCGGTAAACTCATACATATTGCATACGCTAGCCACAATGTTCACATGTTAACACTAAATGCTTCCTGTTTCTTAACTACTTAACGACTGGTATTTTTATATTAAGTAACGCAGGTGGCGACAGCTTAAATGTAAAATACCCTTATTATTTCAATTGATATGAACGAAAAAAAAATAATTGTACAAAATTACTCCTTATTTCAGTAAAAATATGGAAATACTTGAACTGGCGCCTTGTGCTTAATGTCCTAAGAAATTAACGACATAATTGCTAAGTAAATGTGTATTATAATATAGTTTGTTCCAAAACTGCATAGAAAAGTTAATGTCGACGGTCTTGTATTCTAAATGATCAAGTAATTGTTATCAATCCAAATGATAATGACGTCATGTTAGTGAAGTGCCAGGGTAGCAATATTAATTAGATCAATGCTATAATTAATTGAATTAAAGGGGATATCAATTATCGGCAAAGAAACCGATCGATAGTGTCAAATTATAAGTCAAATATTAATTAACTTTATTCTTGTGTAGGTAACTAGAAATAAGACGAGGTGGTCTACTTGGATTAATTCGCCATGTCGGATGTACACCAAAGATAAGGTGCCAATCAATCAAACCGCTAAACCGTTACAAAAAGCAATTGTTTGTGTTCTTTTACTGCCGTAGAACCAATGCCTAGGCTTATGTTTTTGTACTTATTCAATAAACAACAACAACTTGTACAAGGAGACTACACATTGATTTCAGTAAAAACATGTTAATGATGGATTTATTGATTTCATAAAAGTGTAAGTTTATAGTTACCAAATACTTTTTCCTTATGCAAGCAAGGTGTTTTGGTCAACATATGACAATCGCCAACAAATAAAATATTGCTCGAGGTATTTTGTACAAAAACAAAAACAAAACAAAAGAATTTTTCATTTCTCTAATTGTATTGGCGCTTGCGTGTATTACATAAGCGTGAATAAAATAGTTCCAATTATCAGACGAATTTTATGGCTCTAACGCGTGCAGACGACCTGATGTATCGGAAACAATGATTTGATGACATTTGTATCAGGCAGACTCCCCTTTCAAGTCTCTCTCCCATAGAGCTCGTATTTTTCAAAGTTCAAAGCGTGATGGTTTTAAGATTTGTGCAAAAAATCAATTAAGAAACAACTGTGGACTTAGTAATGTAGTTCAATGAAAATACATGTATATGATGAATCAATAATACAACTCTGTTGTTGTTTACTTTGTGTCTACTTGGAATTTATTATTTCAGGTCATTGCAATATTAACCACAACAAAGAAAATTAAGTACAGCGGAAATAAATTACAGTTTGACATTTTATTTTCCGCCGTCAGCACAAAAGAGCACAAAGAATTTTAATCGAGTGATAAAATTCAGAACATTGCATCATTTAGAAAGATTATTACTTCAAGTACGTACAGCCATACCGGTCTTGGTAAACACCAAAAATGTGGACTTTTTTACGAGATCATTCCACGTTTTGTTTTTGTTACCGTCTCAAGTATAACTAAAGAAGAAAAGTATGCTAGGAACATGCCTTTTGCCTAAATTTGATATTATAATATATTGCTGAAGGGATTATTCAAGGTGTTTGAAGCAGACGATAAGGTAGTTGGTAATAATGACAAAAAAGAATTGGTACACGGAAATATCTAGCAGGGATTCCAATCCTTAAACAACAACAAAAAAAACATAACTGTCTCGTACCTGTAATTCTTTTACACTTTTAGACTGATAGTGCGCCGGGTTTCTGTTGCCGAAATTGATTGACGTAAAGCCCCCACAACTGACGTAATACTGGTCGAAGTACTCTAATTCATCTACGAGAAATATACCTTTTCCGTGCCGTCTGATGAATCGCACCTGGAAATAAATGTTGGACCTACACAACATTGCGAAAAATGCGTAGATAGAAAACAAAACATTTATGAATAGTGGCCATGCTCTATAACATTCAAAGTATAGATTTTAGACTTGAGTGACAAAGCTGTTAGACCGAGATTAATTATAATTAAAAAAAGAACAGGTGCCCTATTGTTAAAAAAATAATCACAGCTTGAGATGATACTTTCTACAAATGTACAATCGTTAAAAACAGTAATTTGGTGAACAAATGTAAGAGGAAAAATATATTACAATAACAAATACAATTACAAAATTTCGTTCATTTAAAAATTGTGATACTTCCATATAATTAAATAAAGGAAGACGAAATCAAATAATGGTTTTATCATAAAAGCAAGTACTTATAAAATACCAATTAATATGTTATGAATAAAACAAAATGTAAAGCGTTTGAAATGTCGGAGCGTGTGTCTTATTCAACTAACCCTATGCCATTCTCCGTCATCAACTCGAACTGGAATTGTAAAGTCAGCGTATGAACTCATGCATCTGATCTTAAACTGTGGGTAACCTTCGTGCAGACTTCCGGAAACCATGTCTTGAAGGTCGTTCCGCCTGACTGCATAAAATAACGTGCCGTTACCGGAAGTAGTCTTGAATTCAAACCTCAGTGAATGCCTGAAATATTGATAATGAAGCTATATTCTATCCTTCATCTGAGGAGGGATAGGGTTGTAAATAGTCACTGAATATTGATGATAACTTTAAAAAGCTGGGATATACGTAAACATGTACTAGTATAACCTTACGTTTAAAAAACATTTTCCGAAGTTCACTTGGTGCAATTTGCAAACACGTTCATAAATTTTCAATAATTGCATTCAAAACAAAAATGGCATAATTAAACATTTTTATTTTGATATAGGCGTAAATTCGGCAATTGGTTCATGATTTTAGCGCCAATTTTAATGTATATTGTTTAAGACTTTCATGAAATTATGTTTTAATAACGATAAATCGTTTGAAATAAAATAAAATATTGCACAGATTTGTGTCAGAGTTGTCTCTGAACGTTGACCCGAAAATCGCTTCTCTTTATCAGGATTGAATACTGAAAAAAATATAAATTGCGGTTTACTTTGTAAACGTAAGTTTAAACAAGAAAAAGATAAAATATGATAAACAAGATCAACAAGGAAAGGCGACGTTAAATGAACGCAACCCCCCTACGACCCAGCAACAAGAACCAGTGGCAAAGAGCCCAGGCGGACCCCAAACAAAAACAGGACAGGGCACAAGACAGAGCATGGACAGGTTAATCACTAAATAATTTGTAACTGATAAGGAATTCAAAGAAAACAAATAAATGATTGTAAGTCGCGCGCCAAACAGAAGGTATCATGTAGCATTAGGGACAAATTGCCCAATTAATGTAAATATAGATGGGTTGAAAAAAGTAGTTTAAACTTGCAGCGTTTTTGAACCTCAAAATATCACTGTGTAACGGAGTAATTAATTTAATTAAGCCTTTAAATATCTTTAACCCTATGATACAGACAATTTATAGATTAGAATGTAAACGCACATTGAAAGCAAAAGTTCGTCCAGTAATTTAATTGCGTAACGTGTTTTGTTACAAACTGATTATATCACTACAAAAGTACTAAAATAAAAACAATTATCAATTTAAATACAGGACCAAAATTCAAACCACGTAGTTTAAAGATTTTTGCCAATCTACTTTGGTTGGTTATTCGTTATTCTGTTGCCTACTGTATTTGTCTATTGATAAATATATAATACTTTAATGGCAAAGAAAAAAAGACTCTTTAGCTACTTTAAGAATGATTTATTCAACCGTTTGGAGGGATGGGAAAGGCGAATGTCATTGCAATTCGACGTGCGTCACCATGACATTGACCTCCAAGGCACTTTACTTTAGAAAAGGTCAATGAGTTTAAAAATGATCAAATTCCACGCACCTGTCCTCAAAGGGTTCTGAGAGTGAGTCTATATATACATTGCTTTGATCAAATGGCTCGATTTTGACACCATAGCTGGTCTGTATGTCGATCTTCGAAGACTGAAACAACAAAAATAAAACAAATACTTAATTCTACGTCTGCCGCCTTCGCTTTGGTACAATGTCTGTAAGACTTTTTAATGTTTAGTCATTTCAATACTTGCGTGGTTAAAAGAACAATAGGTAGCTGTACATTATCTTTGCTGTCATTCATTTCGTAAGGCTTTTATGTCACTATTTTCTTTTATGTGCAAAGAACTATAAAGCAAACAATAGAGTAGCCATAAAAAGTACTGTCTCGTTAGAACCTCCATCTGTCCGTACGAATTTCGTGTCCGCACTTTTTCTCAGCAACGTATGACTGGATTTCAATAAAACGTTAAAGGAATATTCAATATCAACTGCAACACCAAGACCGCATATCATTTGCATGTCCATGTCGGACCATTCAACTTGAATTTATCACAGCTGATTGGTTATGCAGTAAGTATTAAGTAAAATTCGTTTCCTCGCTATTTTTCCTGCCAGGTCAATGAGATTCCATTGGCCATTTGTGAGAACAATCCAATGCATAAAAAGATGCGAAAATTGCGCAATCAATTTGCATATTGCCAAGTCAAACATTAAGTCAAGTTTTAATGGCCTTTTGAATGGTTATTGTAGTAATGTTTACCAGAAAAAATCGTTTTCCAGACGCTATTTCTTAGCAAACTGCTGACAAGGCTTTTAAATTAACATTTAAATCTAAAGAGAGATGCCGCAATATTATTGCCAGTTTCAAACAGAATTTTATTAAGTTAAACAGTTATTGACCCTCGAATAGAGGTAAATTCGTTGTACTTTGGAATTAATTAGTAATTTTGCTAAATTATGATATGTATATATAACAATAAAAAGTCTTCATACTGACATTACAAACACTATGATCAACTAACCTCAAAAGTGTTTAAATTGAGTTGTTGACATTCTCTCCTTTAAAATCAAATTTACCCTTCAAAGTACAATTCCTTGCCTAAGTTGCTATACACTTATGTCAATAAATGACTATTAATTAATTAGACACATATACGGACCAAAAATCCACTTAAAAATGGAAAACATTTGAAGATATAAATTCAACGAATTGCTTGTTTAAGATTTACATTGCACGGAATGCGTTTATCATAAACTAAAACCTGCGCTCAGTTGCGCAATAACAATAAACCAAAGTAAAGAGAAAATATAATATTGTTTCCAGACGTTTATACATGTAATTAATAAAGAAACTGTCATCATATTGCCCTGACCTGTCTCTAATATCATGAAATGATTATAACCCATTTAATTTAACGAAGGTCGAAAAATAAATCAGTTTCAACCCACCCTTCATATCAAATGTTGAAAGAAGTCTTATTTTAATTTATTTTTCACAACTTTTGCGGTCAGAAAAAAAAATCTACCTGTAGCATTTAAAAAATAATATGAAAAATAAAATTTGATAAGTTATTGTCTTGTCTACTTTGTCAAAACATATGAGTCCACTTGTTTTGAAATGCCATCCAGTGGTGTCTAATATATAGTTACGCCAGAAGGTGTATTATTTCGAGCGTTTATTTGTCTATAGGCAATTATTAACAATGATGCAACGATCGTTAATCGGACAATTTTTCAATTACCCTGCTGGAGCCGTGGGTGAAAAGGCTTTGCTACCAGTATAGAGCCAGACCAGCCCGTATACCAGTGCAGTTTGACCATGCTCTATATTGTTGGCTGACTAACATCATATTTTTATTTTAATATGAAAACAGAAGGTTATAAGAGACAACCTAAGAAAAAAAGAATGGAAAGTTGGCAAGTTCATTTTAGAAATTCAGCGGTAAGAATTTTATTGACTTTAAAGACTTTATAGTTAAATTATAATGTAGGTATATAATTATTTTACCTTTTGTATAATAGATTTGTTGCGGTTTGTTTCTGTCAAGTGACTATAAATGTATATTATAAATTGCTTTAACGAGACCCTTTCTCCCGCCAGTCGTCAGTACTAACTACTTGCGAGTATTTCGTAGGTGTTAATATAAAACATTACTATAAATAGAATTTATTTCTTTTCATATCATATACTAGTATATAGGTTTATTATGTATTATTGTGTAAAACACGTTTAAATACGATAATTAAGATTTTTCAGAGTGTTTAGGTGCAAATGTTAACTAATAAAGGTAAATGAAGTTATGAAATTAAACATTTCACATAAAAAACGTATGAAAACAAAAATTAACAAGGAAGGGGAAATTCAATGAATGCACCCTAAACAAAAACCCAGCAACACTCGATCGACAAGGAGCTTAGCAGGACACCGAACAAAAATAGAAGAGAACAAGCAACATGTCATCAGCAGTAAGAAGCCCAGCAGGGTACCAAACAAAGACGCATTACAAAACAAATTTCGTTATTTCTGAATTTTCAAAAAAAAATATGCTTTCCCAACATTGTGTTCGTTAAATACATAACATTGAGTACAGGAATTTAGACTAGGCGGGTTTCAAGCCAAAAAAAACGATTAGTCGTTTGCCTTTCTTTCAATTTGACATTGATGCACTGATTTAAATCAATACTTTTAAGAATTATGTCAAGTAAAATAATAGCTGTTTTTTCACCACATAGACTAAAATATATACAATTCGATTTGAATAAAAGCCACTAATTGCATTTGAATCTTATACAAATTTATGAATGGGAGTGGCGGTTGGGCGATGGTTAACGAGCGTATAGACTACGTAATATAAGAGAATTGATTGACAGCGATTAGTGGGCAGCCGTTGTAATTGGCTTAGTATAAGGTTTGTTCCAGGGAACGGAGATTAGAAGAGCGTTTCGAGAAGCGATAAGCTTGCGCAACACATATGAAAAATAAGTTTAATTTTATCAATACATTAAAAAGCAATTTTGTCAAAAGAACATTGCTCAAGAACAGGTTTTTAAATTGAAAGAAAAATAAATATTTCATATATAAAATGAACAAAGCATTAACATTGCTTTTTTCAAATATCAAAAATCACATATACTTTTCTTAATTACTCAGACCTTTCGTAAATTGTGAATTACATAACATTCGTTTTGAAAACTCAATAAGTTTATTCTGTCATCCTCTTTTTCATTTTAATAGTAAGACTAGTTTTTAAAAGTGATTTCGTAAAAGTATGAAAGTATCTGTATCTTAAACTAAACCAAAATTAATATAATAATGCATGTGGTTTTGCTTAAGCTACAAAAAACTCAAACAAAATGTAAGCTATTGTAATTTATATGATAAATTCATAGAGATAACACAGTGTGACACCATTAATAATTTTACCTTTATTGGTTTGAAATATTTGTTCGTTGAAAAAACATCCTCTTTAAATATTATTAATTAATTTAAACGACATATTTTCAAACGATAGAATAAATCAAATTTTAACCACTTTAGTTGCATTCATTGAATAAAGTACAATCAAATATATGTGCTAAGATTTTGGCGTGCACTATTCTAATCATTTCCGTCTAGATAAATTTACGCGGCAAATCACTTTAGGTAATAAATGAACTATGCTATGATAAATTTGGGCTCTTTTTAATGAATGTTAAAGTTTTGACCTTCAAACGTTTGATATAGAATAATAAAATGTTAAATGATGAATTGACAAACTAGCATGAATTTATCGGTTTTTTTATAGCGGTAATACTACAGTTAGCTGTAGACAAACAAATTCAGACTGATTTAGTTGATGAAAAATTATAATCTTATACAGTATTAAGCATTAAATTTTACTATTTCATTTAAGCAAGTATAAGTAAACTGCCCAACATAGTATGAGATAAATCCTGTTAGTAATCAAATGTGGCAACATATTCGCAGCTATTTAAGGATTTAAACAAAATCAATTACACTGTTTTATTTTAAGACTGTAGTTCCAATAATACCATACTAACATCACACCATCATCTCACAACAACCACGAAATTTGAACAATGTGCATGACATAAAAATCCAATTAAGAAACCGTTTCATATGTTCATAAGAATACCGTTGAAAACATTTTTTTCTCAAAAAAAAAAAAAAAAAAAAAAAAAAAAAAAAAAAACATTACAGTTATCGTTACAATCTTTTATTATTTAAATGGTGCAAAAATGTAAAAAAAAGTAAAATTTGATTTTTTTTTCAATTTCCCTTCTTAGCAAATGTAACTAAAAATGACTTATATCTTAAGGCACTCATATATAACAAATTCATCTTTTTTTGAACATCAAAAATTTCTCTATCTTTTGACACATTTAAGATTTAAATTTGTTAAATATATTTACTTTCTGAAACTTGTTTTGGATTGAGTAGTTTATTTACTTTCTGAAACTTTTTTTGGATTGAGTAGTTTTCACCAGTTATTAGATTTTTGTTGTTATTATTTTATTATTGTTGTTATTATTATTGTTGTTGTTGTTGTTTTATAATTTTTTGCAAATTTGATTCGATTTTTTTTATTTCATTTGAATATCCACTAAAACATAATTTGTTTGTGTCGTTTCCGATAAAGAAAGCCTGTTTTGTCAAGACAAAAACTTAAATTGGCTAATACTTATTTACTTTGTTTAGCTGAGAAAAGTTTACTTAAAGACTCATAATGTCCCAAAATGCTTTTATGTTTAGTTCTCAAAGCTTTTTATATTTAGTGTCTTGTTATTGTTTCTAAAAAGTAACTTATTTGCAAGGAATATCTTTTGCTTAAGATGATAACGCGCTCTAATCCGATTATTAAAACATTATAAAACTCTTGTTTGCCTTTTCTAAAGAAGGAAACATTTCTTCGTTTCTGAAGCATAATGTGCCTGTAAATATGATTGAATACCATGGTTTAGCAACCAAACTATATCATAAAAACACGTAGTAGCTCAATGCGCTTAACAGGTTTATCTACTTTTTTGCAAAATGAATTCCACAGTAAAACAAAAAAAAAACATCATTATAACAAAATAGCAATAAAAAAGTTCTTTTCACCTGCAAAATTAAATATATGAAAATAATTATCATATTCTCGCAATAGGAATAAGAAATTATAAGTATTTAATAACATTAAAACTTACTTACCCCAGAACATATAGAGCGGTCACGGCGCAAGCTTCTACCTTCGCAGTAAATTATCAAGGTAAATAATAAAACATATATCATTATTATCATCTCAGAAACAAGCATTTTTTTATCGAATTATCTGTTTTGATAAGATATTTCAAACAATTTAAATATACGTCGAATTATAAAGCTAATAAATTGAGTCTGAACAGTCTTTATGTGTATACTATAATGTTATTTAACATACTTTGAAATTATTTGTAATATCTGAAAATATCTTAAAACTTTTGACTTTATTAGAGCACTTCATGACGGTAACAACTGCTTTAAAACGTTCTGTATTCCGCTTAAATACAACTTTTTCATTGCGCACCTGGTATTTCACAATCTAAATCTAACTCATTCATAAAATACTCCTTATCGGTGGGAAATTACTTTTCTACGTTAGAAGCACGTGACATGGACTTCAATTTTCCGATTTGACGCTTTCTTCGTGGCTTTGCGCATGCGCTTTAGCACACACTCTGTCTTAAATGGATTATCTATCTTTTTAATTTACGCTTCACATGATGTCATCATTTAAACATTTAATTGAATTCTTCATTCGGATGTGAATAACATATAAGTTTTCAAACGAGATAATAAGGGCATATAAATAAAAGGAAGTTCAATACACCATCCGAGAATCTGAAATTTTAAATGACGGTTATTGTTTATAATCCAGGCGATTTAACATACCTGATAAGTTTTTCAATTTCCCTATAAATATGGAGTTAATGTTTAGGCGAGATACGGTTAATAAACAATATTTGATACAAACGATTCACGGTAGGTTAAAACACACGGCAGCTATGTATCACCGCACTTTGGGGTCCAACGCACTTTGGGGTCAAAATCGAGAAATTGACCCAAAAGTGCGTTAATATGCTACATATCAACGCACTTTGGGTTCCAGAGTTCTGAAGGTGTCAACTGAGTTCTGCTTAAATACTGAATACTGACTTATTTTCGATCTGCGACATTGTAATATGTGAGGTGGAGTTCACGATGGCGGTCGATACTTTGTTTGATGCTTAAGTGATTAAAGTTTCAATAAATGTGGAATAATTTGTCATAAATTAGCAAAATGTAAAAATTGAAGTATTTGACATCCATATAAAATACTTATTCACTATAACTTTTCCCATTGCCCAAAAGGAACAGAATGAAAGATCCAGGTTCAGAGTATTGCAATGCAAGTAGCTCAACCAGCGGTTAAGGAACTTAAGTTAATAACCAATAGCTAATTAGAGAAATGATAATAACTAATTTTAATGGCAATACAACCACTAGGCCTTCACCTAGTGATTCTACAATGTAGGGAATCATCATCTCAAAAAAGTTCCTCCCAAATTGATGCCTTACATTCTTATACTCACTAAAAAGTATTATTTTTCTCCATGAACTAATGATTGAAACAATTCCATTAATTATTATAATTGCCACGGGGCGACGATAACTCAGTCAAGCCTTATCTTTGGATCATATAGAAGTTAACTAAATAAAATTCAAAAAGCTTTTAAGAAACACAAGTAAAGGCGTAATGGGCCTTTAAAACGTTATATATATAATCTCAGGAGGGGGGGGACGAAACCCTACCATCCCTCTAGATCCCCCAGTGAGAAGTTAACATTATTATGATGTTCCGCTCTTAATGTGTGACTTCTGAAATAGTTTATGATATTTTTGAGTACTGCCTATATGGACTACTACTTAAGGCCGCATCAACATTTAGTCAAGTTTCTTAAATATCAGATTTAGATAAGCTAAATAAATGGCCCTTGCAACATATTATCAGGCACATTTTTTTTACTGAAATCTCTTATTAAGATTTCCCAGAATTTATACCTTTGTTTCTGCTTAGACTATCATATTTCTATAAAAATGTAAATAAAAAAACGGGAAAATTATGTAATTAGCTAATAACAATGGAGTAAGTGAACAGTGTACATTCTTTTTAAATAAATGGTCAATGTGAGAAAAAAATATTTTGAGCTAATTAATTGATAACAAAATTCTTTATTGATGAAAGTTCTTCAAACTAACTTTAAATATCATTTAAAATCCTTATTGATATCTACTATAATATCAGATGCACAATGTATGCGTGGGTAATTAAAATACTTGATATTTTTTGTATTTACAATTGGCTTTGGAATACAAATGTATTAAATTAAACATGCATGACAATCAGATTTTTAAACTTGACACAATCGAATTTTATTAACGAAAAAACACCAAGCCATAGACAGAGTCGCTTGTTGGCTAATGTACAACAAGCAAAAATGCATAATGTACTTGTGTGTAACGAAACTGCTATGAGGTGTGAGAGAGGGATCCGACCTCAATCGAAAAGAAGGATCGTAACGCACTGCATGATAGGTGCGGAGCTCTCTACCACCACTTACGATGGTTGGACCCAATGTGCTGTGTTACAAGGCTTTATTTGTATTTCGGTTCTATAAGTTTCTGGTTAAAATATATCACTAATTTGTAATAAACAGTATTTGATATAAACAATACGATAAATTAAGATTTATACCGATATAATAGGTACACATGTATACACCTAACTGAAGAACACTGAAAGAAACAATAGGATTGAAAGCGGCACTGAAAGAAACAATAGGTTTATATAGTATCGATCATTAGAATTCCATATAAATTACATAGCTACGAGTAGATGGTTATTTCCGTGTCTCATACACTGAAAGTACGTTCATAACACTGTCATTGAACCTTCGCGATTGAAATATTCGCTGGAAGAAATATCATTGATACCATTTGATAAACTTGATAAAGGTGTTATAAAATATGGAAAATCACAGCTTCTTTGTCAGTCAGAATCTCATTAAAATATATATTAAAAATGTCTTCGAACCTACTAACCTTTGGAAAGACAAATGACAATTCGTAACCGCCTTATGAACAAAGTTTCTATATTACCATTTTTATGTTTAGATGTTAAATTCTGTAAACATCGGTGTTTGAGGGCATGGGCGATAGAACAGGCTTTATCAAAGCAAGCCTGAAACGTATTAAATTCTACCATTTGTGCGTTCGTTCTAGATTGTGGTGCTCTATTTCAGAATAACTATGTTGTTTTTATCTTTTGACGCTCAAATGTATTTTTTATATAAATATTTAACTAAAAATACGACTATAATCGGATGAAATACACAACTTGATAACAATTTGCAATACTGATCTCATTTATTGAGTAACATTTCAAGAATTTTCAAAAAGACATTATGAAATGACGGCATTTCTTTTTGAAATTCATTTTATCTGTCTCGTGCGATGAATCTTATTTCATTTATGCTAACATATTTCATTGCATTAAAGAAATTAAAACGTCCCATTAACCACACTAGGTGGCAATCGGAGCAGTGGAAGCAGGTTTTAATGTATAAAGATATTATGGATGATATGGAAACTTCACTTTCACAATGAAATAATAAAAAGAAAGCCCTCACAAAAGACGTTGCTGACTTCTAAATCTCCTATATTTATTATATCTGCTTGCGTCTCTCTAATCGAATAATTGATAGAGTTTCAAAAAACAAAACCTGACAATAGTCATTAAGAAATTCCACGGACTTAAGGATTAAACACTGCGAAGGAAAATTTCAAGATTGTGCAAGTATATTGAAAAACTCAAATCTTGGAGCGATAATAAATGTTAGTTAAAAAATAATCTCTTTGTTTTATATACATTTCCTTTGTATATGAACGAGCAATTTCATTTTTAGCATTTTGCTTATTGGCGTCGTCGGAACCCATGCTTGCATAATACACTTTGTGTCCTGAACCTACAAGTTTGATAATAACATGTTTACCGTCGTGTTAAGTGATACACATACAGTCATAGTTTCAAACATTGAATAACTTCTTAGTAAAAATATGACCAGCATAATGTCAAACATTATTACTACAATCAATTCATTTGAGATAATTGCGCATACATTAATTGCTCTCAACGAAATATTCTCTGAATTGTCAAATGTTGTCAAATTTAAATCATAAAGCTTTTTCTGTATTAAACTAATCGATATAATTATGTCAAAATCTCAATACAAACCAAATTGTCATCATGTCAATTTTAATTTTATCTATTACCCTATATAACTAGTATCATTCTTTTCTACAAATTGGATTTTGCTTTATCAGTGTATAAGTTAGCAAAGTAAAATAGTCCTGAATCGTTACCGTGTCGTGCGTAACAGTATGACTATGTGAGAAGGATTTACCGCAACATTACCATAATCCAAAAGTGTTTGTTTAATCTTTGGTTTTACGTTATAATAGATAAGTACATGTATAGATAATTAAGATATTTAGAAGATGACATTTTGATATTAAATCTTACGTACGTAGTAGCTACCTACAAGTTCAGTTTATAGAACACAAATGTCGCACATGGTAAAAAAAGCAGACCTACGTCAAACACAGACTTTTTATTGAAATATTATAATATAAAAATCATCAAAATTTATTGGCCTTACTTTATATTTACATACTCCCACCTTTCAAAGTTTAACTACTTAAACCCTTCATTGAAATTTTGTGAGCAATAATGAATAATTCATCCTCCAAGTTTGACTTTCACCTCAAATAATTCATTGAAATATCGTTAGGATGTATTTGACCGACCTTCAAATTTGACCTTGACATTAAATAATTGATTGAAATATTGTTCGGATTAAATTGTCCTGCAAGATTGACCTTGAACTAAACAATTTATATAAATGTTGTCGGGATTCATTTGTCATCCAAGTTTGACTTTGACCTTTGATAGTTCATTGCAATATTGTCCAGGCATTATAATTTGACCTCATTTTTTGATATTTAGTCAGGAAATTTATTTTCCTCGCATTCGAAACGCTTGGACCTCCGACGGAAACAACCATATCTTAATATTTGAAATTTGGAAAAGTTGGGTCAGGATAATTTGGACCTCACAAAATTTTTGATATGTCGGAATTTATTTGTCCTCCGCATCGACCTGACCTCCGCACGGAACACCTTATTCTAATATTGATTAACACATTCGATATTCATTGTCCTCAGAAATACATGCAACATATATCATCATGAGCTTTGGTGATGATAATTATAGAAATGTAGTCAGGATGCATTTGCCTATTCAAAATTTGGCCATGACATGTGAAAAGTCCACTATTGATCATAGTTCATTGCTTCCTCTGCAAGTTCCCTCGATTTTTTAAGGTAAAGATATCGCCCACCAATGCTATAATTTTGCATAC